TGTGCCGCCCCGCGGACCGTGCCCCCTGCCGCTGCTGGACCGGCCTTTGTAGGAGGTGCTGCGGCAGCAGGACACGCCGTCTGAGAAGGTGCTAGACTTTCCTTTTAAGTGTGCAAATGCACAGCCGTGCACAGACAGAACGTTAGGAAGCAGTTACTCACGGCACCTATCTGCCCAGCTGCTCCAGGGGGGCGCAGAGCTGGGGGCCCACCCCGGAAGGCTGGGCAGCCATGGGCTCCGCCTGGTCCCTTGGCCTCACCTAGCACAGCACAAGATGAGAGCTGTTTGGTTATGATGCATCTCAGCAGCTCGATAGCTGAGGGGCTTCCTGCAGGCCCCGCTAGCAGCCAGCGCACTGCACGTTCGAGCCGTGGGGAGGGCTGCCATGTTAGTCTCAGCCTGCTGCTAGTCCACCGCGAAGGGGGAGATGCTGAAATGCCACAGGGCCTCGTGGCTTCTTACAAGCCTCAGGTCACTGATGCCAGGAAGTCACCCTGCCCTGCATGGGGAGACACAGAGGCTTTGCCCGGAGGAAGCAGGTGGCCAGGGTCTGGTCCTGCAGCGCTCTGGGCTTAGCGGGCTTGAATTCAGCCAGACTCGACCGTCATCGGGAACTGGGTTCTCAGAACAAAATCTGGCAGACCTGGTCTCGAGTAATTACAAATAGAAGCTGTTAGCATTTTAGAAATATTTCCGAATTTGCATGGGGAGACACAGAGGCTTTGCCCGGAGGAAGCAGGTGGCCAGGGTCTGGTCCTGCAGCGCTCTGGGCTTAGCGGGCTTGAATTCAGCCAGACTCGACCGTCATCGGGAACTGGGTTCTCAGAACAAAATCTGGCAGACCTGGTCTCGAGTAATTACAAATAGAAGCTGTTAGCATTTTAGAAATATTTCCAAATCCAAACAAGGCCAGCGGCGATGCTGAGTGGCTCCAGGCCGTGGAGAAGGGAGCCCTGAGCCCACGTCGAGGTTGACTCCTGTTTGCTCGGCCTGCGCTGGCCGGGGCGTGGGCAGAGTGGCAGCCCTGCCTCTGCAGGGGGCTTCGTCTTCTCTGTTTCAAAGGGTCCTTGTACGGTCCGATGGGACGGTGTGTGATGAAGACATGCTGTACACGGGGGCACTTGGACATTTCGAGGCAAAACAACTCAGGTGTGCGTTTATTTTGATGCAAAACCTTTCAAATCCATCCTGACTTCGGAACATCCATCTCACTTAATTTACACCGGGCGCTCGACGCGCCCTCACAGACCCCGCGAATAAACCTCGCCGCTGGAAGAGCCAGCACCCATGTCTCCCAAACCGCCTTCCAGGTCGGGCAGCCGCGTCCTGCCCGTGGTGCTGCTTGGCTTCCCGGCCCGGAGACGGGCCTCGGGAGGAGCGGGGTGGTGGGTGGTCCCAAGCAGCCGACGTCTCAGTCCACGTCCGAGGAGCCTGGAGGGGCTCATCCCGGACAGACTTAAGAGCCCCGCGGCTTCTTCAGGTTGTCAGGGCGCTTTCTTCTGGTTCTTAAAGCTGGTTTAAAACACACGCTCTCCGGTTCTCGGGTGAAGGGTGATGGCGTCGGAGAAGCAGAGGGCGTCCCCATCACCTGGCAGGAGGTAGCTGGCTGTCACTCTCGTTCCCAGCTGGGCCCATGCTCTCTGGGGCCACCATTGGGGTGGGCCAGGAGGGGTGGCTTCCTCCTGGAGCCACGTGGGAGCCTTTGACCAAACGCCGTGAACGAAATCTCTTCTCATCTCATTCCGTCGCGACAGCTGTTCGGGTTATCGTGAGGGGAAGTGAGGGAAGGAGGGAGGACGCCTCATTAGGGTACCCCGACACGGCTTTTAGACACGCACCGATACCGGCAGACGCCTCGGAGTTCTATCGGCCTGCAGCCCCGACTGAACACGGATGGAAATCCTTAACGCGTGAGAGGAGCGTCGAGCTCTGGACCAGGCAGGTTTAAGTAGGTGAACTGCCCGACGGCGGGGCGGGGGCTCTTGTAC